AATGGTTTACAAACTAAAATTAAGTCCATGCCCATGCCCTAACTTTAGTATTAAGCAAAGCGTGGAACAACATGAAAATTTTCGCGCCTTCAACGGGATTTTCTGTGTGTATATAGTCTTTATGACTTTAGCCTCTACTGTTTTTCAATGCACGAGCCGTCACTGATTTTTATTTCATACAAAAATTTTCACATATTATGGGAAAATATAAGATCAAAATAAGAAAAAAAGAATAAATTTTGAGAATAACAGACTTTATTTACAATACACATGAAAATACATTCAAATGAAGTCTTTTCTGCATAACCTTTTTGAAAATGTTGACTTTCGTTTATAAGTTTCATCGTTTTCCCTCATAAGAAACCAACAAGAATCCCCATCATTGCTGCATCCCATCTGCCTTGGTAACGTTGCTTCATTGTCAGTATGACTTACTGGAACCTTTTCCTTTGTTCGTCACTGACACCACCAAAATTTTCTGGGAAAATAATTAAATGGGAGTGCAAGAAATGGATTTTGAGAGACATGCGACATCCCATTCTGCAGTAGTTGTGACGTAGTTCTTTTACAAGTGTTTCGAAATTTTCTACTTTCTTGTTTCCTAAAAACTCCGAAACAATTCTTTTGAAAGAAGTCCACGCAGTACAACACTACTCAATTTTTGATCAAACTGTTGATCACTTAGTAGTTTTCTAATTTGTAGTCCAACAAATATACCTTTCTTCAGCTTTGCATCACTTAATTTTGGAAAAACGTGTTCAAGATATTTGTCTAATGCTTTTACAAAATTTTTCATTGACCCCAGTTTAATGTGTAAGGGAGGTAACAAAACGTATCTGGAATAAACAAGAGGTATATTCTTCACGTTAGCTCGACCTGGAATATATTCATCTTTCGGAGGTTATTCTTCAACTTGATAATGGCTCTGTGTTGCCCTACTGTTCCAGAGGCGAAGAAAACAGCAAAACTTCCTATGACTTTTAGGTAACCACATATTTGCCACTATAATAACGTATACGTATTATAACTCATTGCATTTAGGATAAGTGATATACTTTCGTGTGTTTCCTTCATAGCAACTGCATGTCCAAGAGGAATGGAGGGTCTTTTGTAACCATTATGGAGCAGAACGCTTTTAAACTTGTTTTAAACGAATCTATAAATAAACGCCACTCGTCCGGAATATGTGCAAATCCAAATTTTTCCATCACACCATTAGTATTTACACAAATACACATTTTATCCTGCATAGTAAAAAACAAGGACAGCTCATGGTTACGGTTCCTCTATATTGCAACTTCGGTTTTAGGGGCTGGTAAATACCATTGTTGTAATCTAGACCCAGATAGTTCAGCATTCTCTTTAGACAAGTGGAGGTCCCGAACTAGGTCATTTAATTCAGGTTGTTCGATTAAATGGGGTGTTCACTCTATGGAAAATAAAGACCGTCTTTTTCTGGCACATCATGGGAGCCTGCCTGGTCATCATATATTTCTAAATCTTCGTCTCAATTTGCCGGGGGTATTGGAACTGGTAAATCTTCTCCATGAAGAACCGGATTTCTGGCAGAAGGAATATACGAATATACAATTTTGTGTTTGCTCTTTCTTGAAAAACCAGACACGTTTGTCATACAAAAGTAACAGTCGTTGTAATGATTTGTTGTTTCTCGCCAAATAATTGGAACTGCAAACGGCAAAGAAGAGCGTTTGCCATTTAACTAGTTGCTGCACAGGTTTGACAACATACGTGAGGAACCCAATCCCGATCTTGATCACCAACAACACATCCAAAATACTTACCATAGGCCTTCTGATTTGATTAATTGGCCTTTTCTTTGATTTAGGAATTAACTGACCACATATATAGCAAAAACTATAGCGGTATTAACGCAGCCACGTTTCTGTACTTTGGACATTTTTGTACTGTTGCATACGTCGAGTTCAAATATGTGATACTGCGTTTACAGGAGTCAACTTATTTTATTCACAAAGATAACACTAATATAATAGTCCTAATATTTGCTCACCTCGCTTCTATAGTAGTAACTCGCCACTACTCGCGTTAAACCAATATTGATGAACTGATTGTCAACCTGCTACTTTTATAGCGGTTCCGTATTTATCGTATCTTCTGGAAACTTCGAGTATCGGAAGTTCGAGAAGCGGCGTTACAAGTCATATACAGCAGAAGCAAATTGAAATACTGGGGAGAAGCAAATTTGGAATGTCGTGTTCTTCAAATGATAATAACTCAAAAATCTTACGTGTTAGGAGATTTTTTATACCATTTTCGCATTTAGGGACCAAAAATTGTTAGAAGACTGCCTTTGGCAACTAGTGTAATTGTTCTGTTCAATATGTTGGAAGTCAGTTGAGTGCCTCGAGTTTTGACTTATTACTATAATACTCGTGGTTTCAAAAGAGCAAATTATAAAAAATTATACATCAATGAAATCAGAATGAGTTCAGGAAATCCCAATAGTGGGGGTCAAATTTAAACTATCCTGTATACTGAAGAGTGGAATGGAACAATGTATTTATGATGTCTAATTTTTCACTGTTCGAAGGAATAACTGTAAAAATAAGGATATTTCGCTTTATAATTTTGTTTCAATAGTCTCACATAATCTATCTAAGCATTTATCATACCTAGAGAAAAAAATAACACGGTTGCAGAATCATTCCAGCTTCAACCAGATAAATTCTCTCGAGAAAAATATCTGGTCGAAGCGGGAATCGAACACACGACCTTCCGATCGTGAGTCGGACGCACTACCACCGTGGCCAATTCCACAACAACATGAGCATTTATGTTATCTGTCAAAAATATGTTTTAAAGACACAAAAGGAAAGGTGTTTCATGACAAAAATTCAGAAAAGATATTTGGGAAAAGTTGTTTCTTATAAAACCTCACATACAAAAATATTTCGTCAAGCTAGGATTGAATGAATTGATAACACAAGTCTGCAAAAATTGTTTGGATGTGCTGAGTCCAAAAATAATTTTCTGTTTGAGAACGTCACGTTTTCTGATAATCTATGTAGGTATCAGTTTTTGTGTTGGGTTTTGCCATTCACTATCTTTAGTATATTTTGGTTTGTAAGAACACTGTATTGGAAAAAAGCTTTCAAATATCTTATGAGATCTGGTTTGGATGCAAAATATAGTTTTCATCGAATCCTTAGCAAAAGTGAGAAGACGTCAGAATATTTGAAGGGATCTCAAATCCAGAAAAAATGATATATTTGTCTAATTGAAAAATGATTTCGATACCTCTTCAGAATTGTAGTAGTGTTAGCCATTTTTCAGAATTATGGAATATTTGATAATGATATTATTTCATTTTGCATAGAACAATAATAAAATTTATAGTTTGTCATGACTTAAAATGATAAAAAACATCAACAACACATTTCACATCATAACAAATAACACATTACAATCTATATGGCATTTATGAAACATCAGAAAAACAATCTCTCTCCACGATCTACATGTTACGGAGTGAACGATTAACTACCAGACCACGTACTTTCATAACAAATAGGTAAATTGAAAAAAGTATTTTCTAATGAAAAATGGAAAAGACATCTACTAAACTGAAACTCAGGTATATTAAAATAAAAAATATCCACAGCATGGATAGTTATATAAAGTGCATCATCAAGGAACTGTAATAACTGCCATTGTGATAGTTACCGGAAACTATAATTTTATTAATAAAGATCGGGGTCAGTCACCCGGTTTTTTCGGAAGATTCTATGTTTCCTTCGAAGTAGACATAACAAACATATCCTGTTAATAAGTAATGATACTGGGAACGTGAAATATGCAATATGAGTTTGCATTTCAGCTTCGTGGACAGGAATTTCGGCCATATCTGAATAGGTGGGTCCGATAATTCATTTAAAGTAAAAACTGACCAATGAGTTCAATGAAAAGAATAGGTCTTGAGGGTTATGGAAAAATTCGGGAATATTGAACAAAGATCAGACCAATCAGGGGACGGCACAAGCGATGAGAGTTTTACGGATAGTTTTTCGGACTTGGGAATACCAAAGAGTCGGTTAATTGGGACAGGTGCGATCGGATCGTTGGGGAAGTTGGTTAAAAGAGATTTTGCGATGGAGCAGTTACGATAATATTCTTTTGCGAACGAGAGTTGATTTGGGAGAGTCGCGAAAGTCAGTTGCGGAAGGGTCGCGAAAAAGGGTCTTTGCGATAGTGAAATTCCGGTAAATTGCAAGTAATGAGTTGATTGCAGTGTTGCGTTTGGTGGCACTTAAAACGGTTGTGTATTTTACACGGACCAGAGAGGGAGAATAGAACCCAGTATAGTATCCTGAGTCAATTTAGATTTTTTACTAACCCCCATGAAGGTAAAGAGAGAGAGAATGTCATTTTAATTTTGTGATAATTGTCTTATCGTTGTTGCGTCTTAGGGACGATATATGAAGGGCAATAAATTACACTACACCCCTTGCATATGTGTAAATATCTGCAAATTAGTACACACAGGTTTGACGCCAGGCAATTTCAAATAATCATTTCAGAATTTCCACAAAGCTCGAGTAGAGTAACTTAGGTTTTTGCGTATGTTGAACTTCTAGCTTATGGGAGAATATATAACATTTCACAAGTTGATAAAGAGATAATTTTTGTTCGACAATCAGCTATTTCAGACGTGCTTTCTTGTAAAATTTTTATCGTACTTTTCGAAAATTTCTTTTTAGTGTTTTGTTGGACTTTCATGTTATATTTTTACACAGTTATTCCTTTCGTAATATAAGACTAATCTGAAGCTTCTTGTTGTTTTGAATGGCTCACTACTTGAGTGAGTCCCGCACCATTTCAGGATAGTTAAAAGGTCTTTAGCCTCAAGTATTAGTCTCCTGTCTAGGTTTCCAAAAGACCGGCACTATTAAGGACCTACCTTAATATTCAAAATTTGATGCGGAGAAATCTGCATCTGGTGACAGCCGCTTCCAAAATTCATTTAAGAAAATAAATGAATCAGAAATGAGCATTTATTACACTGAGAACGGTCAGTATATTCAATATTAATAGATAAAACCATATGTGAATAGAATACACATATATCGGTCAGGTATTACAGAACGCGAAGAAGTATAGAATTCAGAATGACAATAATATATGTTGAATGCTCTTGACTCGATATTCAAAATAAAAAGTAATGCAAATGTAAGAATTAGTTTTATTTTCGGTTATATCAGTACAGAAAATCTGAAAATAATCTTTTCTGAAAAGAGTATTCACCGATATCTGATTTTTTCTTTTCGTTCGAATAAAAATGAATAGAAAGAAAACATCTGAAGGAATTATCCTTGAGATGAAGAGAAAACACTTTTCATTTTCATTCGAATGCCTTTTATAACTTACCCTCCACTTCGGTTTAACTGTCACCGACCATAAACAATCTATTGGCATATTGTGGGTAGTGTAAATATCAATCGTGTCTTTATCGATATCGTTTTTTCCAAATTCTCCCTCTTCCTTCAGCGTGTGGTTCATGTAGCAGGGAATAACTTCGGGTGTTGTCACTGTAACAAAGATGGATCATATTAGAATAAATGCATATAATAGTAAATATCAGAGTGTGAATAATTATCAGAATTTAAAAGAATCATTTCAAACGTAGAATCTAGTTATATACCTCAATTTGAGCCACACTGTTTTGCAAAATCACCATGGACGGATACAGTGTCTGGCTTAGCCAGCGCGGGGCCTGTAGCAAATTGGTTTGCTATAGGTTCTCAAGTTGAGGGTATTAAATAAAACAAAATTGTTACAGATAAACTTTTCTGGATTCAATATATCGACTTCTTTGGACAAATCATATTCTATATTCATCAAAGTGATATGATTAGGACGTTCGTTGAATAAGATGGTTCGCCACTGCAGTTAGTGATCATGACAAACAAGTAAATACGAAAGGCAATTTCTACGTTTGAGAAATACCGTTCAAAGGAAATATTTAATGAAAGTTTTCAAAATTGCAGTTCCAGAAGATCTTGTTTCTTGCTGTCGAAAACTGTAGCCATATCTGTTTTTAGCAGTTCAATAAACTGCACTAATTCGTCGCCTAGGTTGTTCGCTAAATCGTCTTCGTAAGCACTGACCATACTTGAGGCGTTTTTCAAAATGTCTTCTGTTGTAAGGGATTTAAGCTGTCGAAATACTCCAAAACCACCAGAAATTTTATGATATGTTTTCATACGTTCAGATAAAGCAGACAGTAGTTATCAATAATAACAATAAACACATGAATTACAAAACGTTGTCCAGGTGTTCCATTTTCAACAAAGCCGGTAAAATGGTCGAACTCTGTACTTCGCTTGCATCGTCTTGAAGTCTGTTGCTGATATTACATCATAGCTGGTCAGATCTTTGACTTTTGTCTCAATACCTGGAAATATGGATCGCATTGCTTGGACATAGCTAGTAGGGTCATTGTGGCAACAGAGGGTCAGAAGGGCACAGTGAGTCAACACCATATTGAACAGAAAGAGTAAAGCAATAGTTGCGTCTTCTTCACAGTAGATTCGCATTAGGCTATACGCCTTTCCACGCCAGTCAGTGCGCCGCTCAGAAGTGTAGTGTACGTTACAGAAAATAATTTGTGATTTGAGAGTGAAAAAGTTCACAATGGAGAAGGAAATCCACAAAGAATTGCCTTTCTTAGACGTTTCGGTGAAGAGGACCGACACTAAGTGGGAAACATCTGTATATAGAAAACCCACTCATACGGGACATTATCTGAACCACGAATCCAACCACCATCAGCCAACTAAGACTCTATTAGATCGTGCTTTCGGGCTCTGTAACACGAAGGAAGGTTTCGAGAAGAAACTAGACATCATCAAAAATTATCTTCAACAGAATGGCTACTCCAAAGCGATGGTAGAAAAGACCTTAGCTTTAGCAAGGAAGAGAAACTGTCACAACCACTGCTTGCACTTCCCTACATCTGATGATTATCGGAGAGGATAAGAAAAATTGGTTCCGAGTACAACATCAGAACCTGCTTCAGATCCGGTAACACTTTCCGTAGCAGCCTCACGAAAACTAGACAACCAAACGCGGACTGCCATTCGAAGAATTGCATTTACCGGATACCCCGTGAGTGCGGAAAATCCTATATTGGTGAAACTAAGAGACCATTGAATGTTCGCATTGCCGAGCACAAGAAACACACACAGCGAGGGGAAACCAGCAAATCAGGAATAGCAGACCATGTTTGGACCCATCAACACAACATCGAGTGGTCCCAAGCTGAGATCTTGCACAGAGAGGAACATTGGTTTAGAAGAAAATTCAAGGAAGCCGCATACACTCCTATCTAAATTGATATTTTTTACGGACAGGCAGGTGTTGGACCGCGGGGCCCCTCGAGTCGTGGGACCCATAGCATTTGATACACTTGCTACGTTGCTAATCCGGCACTGGACGGATAAAGTATTCAACAACACGTGCAAACAATGAAATTGTTCTATCAAAATGGGTGTTTGGGCAACGTACGGCGCGCTTGGCCCATTTTACGGTCGTCATAATCGTCCTACCGAGAGGACTATTCGCCATGTGTTGAATGAATTTGAGTCCACTGGTTCAGTGAACTATCGATCAACACCTGTAAGTCGACGAAACGTATGATTTGCTGAAAACATCGCCGCTTTCCGGGAGAGTATGCAGGAGAATTTGAAGCAGTCGATTTCGTGTCGCTTGCAAGAACTCTGCCTTTCGCAGACCACAACTTTTTCGTTGTGACTTGGATCTGCATCCACATAAGAATCAACTGACCTAGACAACGATGTGTGTTCGCTGAATGGGTTCTGGAGCAGTTGGCAACTGACCCTAATTTTCAACAAAAAATACTCTTCAGCGATGAGGTCATTTCTGAATGGATAGGTACGTGAACAACGAAAATTGTCAAATGTGTGATGATACTAATCCATATGAGATCCAAGATTCCGAAAAAGTCACCGTTTGATGTGTATTTTGTCACTGTCAACGACGAGCTCTATAAGTGTTTTGGCTTGAATTGGATGATCTGGACATCAACGACATGTGGTTCCGAAACGACGGCGCTACACCTCACACAGCTCATTTTACATTGGATTTTCTGTACGAATGTTTGAGGGCATGGGCCTCTCACGTGGAGTTGATGTCAACTGGCTACCGAGATCGTGCGATTTGACACCGTTGGAAATTTTCTTGCGAGGTTTTCTTGAGTCGCAGGTGTTTGCGAAAAACTCACAAACTACGGCGGTCCTCAAATCCAACATAACCTATGCCATCGATCAGCCTGATTTATGCGCCAGTGTCATGGAAAATTGTTCCTTTCAGCAGCAGCGGCTCGTCAGAGGGGGCAAGGGAGGCTTAGCCTCCCCATAAAATTTGAGGCTATGCATCGCAATAAATTAAAAGATATTGACAAATAATTATGATTATTTTTTTCTAAAAATGCTTGGGTATCATTACTTTACCATTAATTTTTATTATAAATACATAATATGCCCGAAAAAACACTNAAAAATGTTCGCGCCTCCGGCGGACTTTTCTGTGTGTATATAGTCTTTATGACTTCAGCCTCCCCTGTTCTCCAATGCACGAGCTGTCACTGCCATAATGGCATCAATGGGGCTTTCAAACGAATGAAAAATTTCAATGATATCTCACATGCACTTTGTTTCATTTAAATTTGATGGGAAGCGCCAAATGAAAGAACCTATATTTTAAGTTGATTATTTAGTTTTCTTTTTTTTGTACACATCATACGTATACTATATTGATTCCTCTGCTCATATAAAATTTTTAAATCCAATTATTTTGAAATATCCCATCATTATTTTTTAATGAACATTGTTTTTCAAACGACTTATTTCTAGTGAAACTGAAGTTAAATTAAAAGTTCTTCTACATTCACTCAGTAGATATTGTTTATTGCTACAGCTGATTAACGGAAAAATAGATTTTGTTAAACAGATACTTCAATCCTGTTGGATTATGGCTTTCTGACTACCAGTGCAAATTTTACCTCACTCCTTTGAAAGATTCACAACTAACAAGTTTACGAGGAAAAACAGAAGAGTGAAATACGACAAATAATTGAAGAAAATATACGAAGTTTGATCCTTCTGAAATATTGTTGAACTGTATAATTTTTTCGGTTATTCACAAAACATGAAGTAATCGTGACAAAACATGAGGGAATTGTGACAAAAAATCGCTGAATAAAATTCCGGTCTAGATCTTGTTATCAACTCGGAAGGTGAATCCTTGGACTCGACACAAATCAAATTGTCATGGTTTTTCTGAACGCAAACATACAACTGCACAATAACCATCCTCATTGGCTACTCCAAATGCTAAAATCGTGAGTGAACTTACCAACTTCTTCTTACCAACTTCAGACCGCTAGCTTCCTGAAAATTATGTAACTCCAACCGTTCCGTTCTGACCCTTTCCAATATCAACTGGCATTGTTCTTTCACTCGAAATGTTGAAAACGTATAGAAAGGCCATTCGAATCATTTGTATTATTATAACATTGTGGAATTGGCCGCGGTGGTAGTGCGCTCGACTAACGATCGGAAGACCGTGGGTTCGATTCCCGCCTCGAACAGATATTTTTCTCGAGAGAATTTATCTGGTTGAAACTGGAATGATTCTGCAACCGTGTTAGGAATCACACGTTTAAAGGAAAGACCTCGTTAGTCCTTAGCTCGCACAAGTTCTCAACTTTTGAGAGTTGTCGTTCATATGGGGGTGACAGCTGATTAACGGAAAAACAGATTTTGAACAGATTTTTTGAACAGATGAAGACCTTGATGACGAAAGTTTTCTCTTTGAACCTTGTGAATTGTTATATGAAAATTTAACTTGAGGATACCATTGCAAATCTGAAAATTTTGTAGCGGTTGGGAAAAGTAACGTATTTCTGCTGAAATCGCTAGTCCCATGAAAGAAAGAGCCAAACACATATTGGAAGGGGATCATGGATCAATCTTTGCCAAGATTGAAAGCACGTGCTTGAAGATCCGCCAAGACCAAGAGAATACCCACAAAAAGAAGTGGGAAAAGTCGAGAGGACACAATGCCTAAATGCAGACCAAAAATAGAAAAATTACGAGGCCGCCAACCTCATCAACTTGAGTTCCCGCCCGCTCATGGCATGGAGGAATCCTTGTTGAGGAAAGATCTGAAGTGAAAATGCAACATCTGTGCCAACTTTGGAGATGATTTCTGCAGTGTAATCTACTAGTTCTCTTATTGATCAGACCGAAGCAGAAGAATTCAGATGCAGAATCAGAGAACAGCTGGATCGAGAACTATTTCCAAAGTCTAACATCAGCAATGAAGAATGAAGATCTCTGAACGGCCTACATGAAAATAACACTATGAGGATCCTACCTCCAGATAATGGAAACGCTACTGTTGTGAAGGATACTGATCTTTACGAACAGAAGATCGAAGATGTTCTTCAGAAGGGACAATACACGAAGATTGTACGGAATCCTACTGGCATCAACTGGAAGG